AAAGGATAAAGTGAAAATTAGACTATTCAATATAGACAAAAAGGAGATAAACCAAAAATTAAAGACACAATCTTATTTACATTAAAAAAACATTCTTGTTAAAATATCTTTACAACACCTAAGCAAAAAAATATGTATTTTAAGAATAAAGCAGAAACTCCTAAAGCAGTATCCATTTTTGGAACCCTTATTTAGCACCTGAGGAAAGACCGTATGGAAAGCAGACAGAATTTTTTTTTTGTTGGTTTTTGTTTGTTTGTTTTTTTAAGAAAACTGTAAGTTGTGTTTTTGCTAAACGTTCATATGTTCGCAGTACACAAGTTTCATACCACAGAAAGAAATGAACTATTGTGTTTTTTTTTTTTTTTTCTTCTTCTTTTTAGAGATACTCATTAATAAGGCTGTAGAAAAGGGATACTGCTATCTTACAAAATGGCTTTAGAGCTCTGGACACGTTATATGAAGCTTTCTGATTAACAGTCAAGATAAATACAGCTCAGCATCCCCTGGAGAAAGCACAGGTATGACTTTTGCTCCTGTCCCAGGACAGAGAGCAGCCCGACACCCCCAGCAGCGTGCCTCCGAGGGTCTCGTGCCCCGAACACAAGGCCACCGCGGAGCTCTCTTGTACCTCCCCAGGCGTCCGCTGCTTCGGTGTCGCGCTGCTGAGCGATGCCACTTTTGAGGATCTCGAGCAGGATACAAGGAAGCCAGCCTTACCCTGTGGCGTAACACGTATTGTGCAAATGTCTAAAGCTCTGTAATGTCTGGAAGGCAGCGCATCCGGCAGCGCAGACCGAGGTCTTCTGCTCCTTCGCACCAGCCCAGGTTCCCGCTTCTCAACTGCTTGCGCTAGGGGTTTTTTTTGCCTGGAAAAAAATGCTCTCGCGGTGGCCAAAGCTAGAAATTACTCTGGCTTCTTCAGCTACTCCACCATGCTAGAGCTCTTCCAGCCCCAGCCCTCTTTCTGCCTTACGCACCGGTGTGAAAATGTGTAGCAGCTTTAAATTAGGTGTAGCCTTGTTCTCTCCCCTCCTGACCTCGACCATCTCCCTTGTAAACAGCCTCTGTAAGGAAAACAAATCACTACGGACGCACATACAGAAAAATCTTCTAGGGACAAGACTCCTGAAAGCTTCGGACACCATAGCAATTTACTGAAAATGCTGAATCAAGAGCAAAAACTGAACGCACAGGAAAACTACCAGCAGTTCTGAAACACGTCTGTGAATGTCATCGCTCCCAGATGTCCCTGAGGTCACCCACCGGCCACTTCTGGAAAGGATGCTATCGTGCTACGGTAACGCTCTCTTGAAGGTGAAAAGCACTAATTACACATGCAACTGAGAGGACAACTTCCATCTCTCTTTTTTTCCTTTTTTTTTTTTCTTTTTTCTTTTTTTTTTTTTTTTTTTTTTTTTTTCCCTAGCAGGAAGCGATTTTCCTTTCGATTAGCTAGCTGGTTCACCCTGTCACCCGCTCCCAGCTGCCGAATAGCTGGCATACTCGCAACCTAACGAGAATTGGGTTTTTTTTCCCACATTTCAAAGAAGTTCACAGCAGCTGCGAAAGGCAAACAGCGAGATTTACAGTTCAGAAAAGGTGATGGTTTGAAGTGGGTTAGCGATAGAAACCATGCCCTGGAGCTACCCACATTGTCAAAGAGACAGATTTCTAACGACGAAAACAGGTTTCACGGACGACCGAGGGGGATTTAAACCAAAACCGAACTCCGACCAAACCTTGAAAGCCATTGCATTGCCAATCCACCGGACGGGCGGACGGGGAGGGAGCAGAGAGGCTGAAGGTCCCCAAACCACCGTCACCGGAGACGGGAGCACGGAGCAGCTTTTCAATCACCTCTTGGAGCGGAGGAAGCACTCCCCGGCCCACCGAAGAGAGAGCAGATCCCACGCTGGATCTGGCCAGCAGTACGCACTCCAGCCTGTGTCGCACAAGACCCTGTACAAGACACCCGACAGGACCTGCCGGCAGAAACTAAAAACCTGGGGAGAAAGGAGACAGCCCCTGCCCGTGCAGGAATCGTTAATTCCAATAAATAGAAAGCCTGGCAAGGGAACCAGAGGAAAGGGACTCGTCAGACCCACAACGGGAACAGAAACGGGAGAGAAGCCTTAACCTGAATTAATATCTTCATAGCTAATAAAAAAATAGGTCATGATTTCACCCTTAGTGCCACTTTCCGATACTACACGTATTTAAGGGGTTTTGTTTTAAAACTTTACTCAGTGTAATGAAGACAATGGCACAAATAAATACACGCTCACTCTCCTTACGCGAGCAAGATGCTCGCACACGCGCCGCCAGCTCCTCGCCCCCCCCCCCCCCCCCCCGCCCCCCCCGCCCCCCGCACGCGTGTACGCACAGACACCCTCGGGTGCAGACCCGGGAGAGAAGGCTGCTGCACCCCTTCCCGGGCTGTATTTGGTTTATGCTACAGTACTAATACTCTGAGTCAAACAAAAACAAAAAAACCCAAAACGTAAGACTTATCAGTAACACCTCAGCATTATTTAAATGTGCTAAATTAGTCACAGCTCAATTTCAGGTGTTTGTTTTTTTTTTTTCTTTTTTTTTTTTTTATAAGTTTACACAAAAATAATCAGAAAACAGATTAAATCTTAAGATATTTTTAATAAGTGCTCAGTAAAGAATTGTGTGAGGACTTGGGGAGGACTGCAGACAGCGACAGGGCGAGTTACACGACAGCACAAGGAAGTTTCTTCCACGGTCCTGCCTGGCTCTAGGCAATAGTCTATTCCAGAAATACCGCCTGCGCCAGCGAGCCGGAGCTACAGGAGCTCAGAGAGAGAATTTCCTAACTGCTTAGCGCTGAGCACACGCCGTGGAGCTCATGGCGACAGACAGACAGACATTTGAAGAGAGGATGGTCAGAAATACAGCAGAGAAGCTGCAGAGGGTGTTTCTGGATGGGTACCACCGGCAAGGGGCCACGTGCAGCGAGGAAAAGCAGTAGGGACGAACATCGGGGAAAAACCAACCCAACCCATCACTTGAACCGTGGTTCTTTCAGCACTTCTTTCGCTATTCAGAAGACGGACTGGCCTAGGCCAAGATGAGCGTCCTCAAATATTCAGCAAGACTCGATCTCTCTAAACACGCAGGGTCAGATTCAGCATGGGTTATTGCTGTTCAGCTTCTGCATCGCGCCAGCCCCCAGAGGGGATCTGGGGGCGGGGGTACCAGGACAGCACAGACCCCCAGTAAGCAAAACAGGGTTTGGTTTTGTCTTTTTTTTTTCTTTTCTTTTTTTTTCTTTTTTTTTTTTTTTTTTTAAATGGAACCCAGCCCTTAAGGCGACAAGTGACTACACAAGGCAAATAAATACACAGCAGAGCCTTAAAGCCAGTAAAACAAACTGGAAACTTTGCTATTAGCCTTCAACTTTTTGAAAATAATAAAAAGAAAAACAAAACAAAAAAACATTTCTTCCACCTTAATCTTCCCAGTCCCACCGTCCAGTTTGTTCAACACTTTAAAGCTCAGGAAGCCCCGGCTCTTCTGCAGCGGAGCCAGAAGCGATTCCGACTTTTGGCAAGCAGTTGGGAGACTCAACAGAATTAAAAATAGGAACGTCGGAGGACTAGATGTCGGGCACATCTGTAAACACGTTATACATCTGAAAGTTACACACACCTGTAAAGGTGGTACAGTTTATAGGTGAAACAGAACTATTTGCGACTGGCCAACCACACATTTCTGAACCTGGACTGATACAATACATGATTACTATATAGTATTACACTACAGTATTATACTATATAGTATTTTATACATAAAATGGAGTAGGCAATCCATAGTCAAACTTTTAAGACTAAGCGTGGCAGAAAGCTAGCAATCTTACAAAAGGTACAGAACTAAGTTTCATTGTCCCACCATGAACCTAAGCGTCACATTCAGGAACAATCTTATTAAAAGAATAAAAACAATTAAAAAACCGCATGCTACATACTCCTAGTTAACCAAAAAAAAAAAAAAAGAAAAAAGAAAAAAGAAAAAAGATGATAAATCTAAGCACAAGGGGTAGGCAAAAGTTTTGGGCTTATCTGCTTCCTGTAATGCCCCATAGGGTCCAGTCCAATTTTAGGAGACACCAACTGCTGCTGACCTTGATGCCCGGACATCTATTAGCCAGAATTCAGCCACAAACACCCACGGTGAGCGCTGGGTACCTGTGGAGCTCGGGCGGGTCAGAAAACCCGTTTTTGCTTCATTCACTGCTTGCTCTCACACTGGACCCTGTGAACTTTCCCCCTTTTAAAAAAAAAAAAAAAAAAAACACCCAGAAAAACTACCCAACCCCAAGATGATTTGGACGCACTACACAAGCTGCAATGGGACAGAGCGGGTTACACAGCTGGAGCCTGCAGTCTGCTCAGCGTTCTCTACCACTGCTAGGAAGCTTTCCTTTCCTTGGGATTTTTTTTTTTTTTTAATAATTTTTAAATTATTTTTTTCATTCCTAAGTCCTCCATTTTTGTAATAAAATATACTTTTATTAAGAGATAATTAGAAGCAGAGCCCAGAAATACACAGACTGCATTAAAATATAAAAGAGCATTTCCAACGGGCAGGTGCGGGAAGCCCAGCCATTGGCATTCTATGGACAAATTGAAAAGGATTCAAATTCCCTTTTTTTTTTTTTTCCTTTTTCTTTTTTCCTTTTTTTTTCCTTTGAATTTTTTTAAAGAGAAAAAAAAATAATTCAAGGAGGGCGAAAGTTAGCAGAACTCAATTCCTCTTCAGTTTTCCAATGAAAAAGGGAAAAAAATCCAGCACATTTAGTGTTAGGAGACAGACAGAGCAAATATGAAGCACCTACAGTTGAAAGCAGAAGATTTTTTTTTTTTTTTTTTTTTTCTCCCAGTC